ATAATATATATATATATATATATATATATATATATATATATATATATATATATACATATTTTAATTTCTAGCTTGTTTTTTAAAATCATTAATTATTTAAAATAATTTTTTTTATTAATATATAAAATAATTATAATTATATATATAAAAATCCATTAATTCTATAGAAAATCTTTTCAATTAAATTTGAATACTATTTTTTTTAAATATATTTTTAAAATTTTCAGATTTTTGAAAGTTTTATTTTCAAAATTACATTATTTTAGATTTCTTCTACAAATATATTTTTAAATTTCAATATATTTTTTTTTTTATTAATTTTTTATATAATTATTAAGAATTCAAATTAAATATGTCAATTTTAACTATATGTTTTGATTATTAAAACAGCAAGTTCTGATATTATGAAATTTTTAATGTTTTTTTATTTAAAGATGAAGAAAATAAATCAGCTCATATATATTTTTTAGTTAAAAAAAATAATTGCTATAATTTTAAAATGAATTTATTTAATTATAGTTTATTCATTTGTTTGTAAGAAAAGCTATCCATATATTTAATAAATAAAATATTTTATTTAGTTTAATTCTTTATATACTAATTTTTATTATATTATTTAGATATTTAATTTTATTTTATATAATATTTATTCTTTATTATAATATATTTACTTTGTAATAAATATAAACAATTATTAATACATATTAAATTAAAAAAATAATTATAAATAAATGTATTTTTATTATTTTTTAAAAAATTATAATAAATATTTAAATATATATTTTTAAAAAAAACCAAAATCCAAAAACATATATGATAAGTCTAAAATAAAATCAAAAGCATTTTTTCTAAAAACTAAAGCAGGCTATATTTTTTACATATAACGAAATATTAGAATATAAATCTTTATCAGAAAATATTTCAATATTTATAGTAGCAGTTTAATTTATTTAGCACATAGCATTAACAACAAACAAATTTAATAAAGATTTAGACGTAAAAAAAAAATCTAATAGATTTATAAATTATAAAAAAGTAATCAATGATAGGTTCTATGCTTCAAATTACTGAATATATATTAATATTTCCAACTATAATGTAATAAAGTTCATTAGTATTTAATTATGGAATTTTAGCTTTAGTTATATGTATTTTAGCATTTTTGATATGGGGTTTATATTACATATATCATTCCTAGAACCAAGATGAAATATTTATTCGAGATTTAAAAAACATTTGGGGATTAATATATGATTGTATTGATAAATTAGGATTTATACCTATATATGGATTAATATTTTCAAATTTTTTTTGTAAAATCAGTGTAGAATGTTATGGAAGTAAAAATAAAAATATATTTTTTTTACAAAATAAAATAAAAAAAGATGAACATTTAATAATAATTGTAATTTCTTGTATTGCTTTTATAATAATGACTATATTGGAAATTTTATATGTGTATCTTTTCTTTAATTTTACTTTTCGAATAGAAGATAATCTTTCTAGAAACCCTTCAGGGATATAAATAGTGTTTTTCCTTTTTAAGATCTTTTTTATTTTAGCTTATGTAATTCTAGATTTAAATGATAAAACATTGTATATCGAATACATTCTTATCCATTTGGTGATTGGGTTTATTTATTTATACGATACTCTATCATCTTTTTCTTATCATTCTAAAAATGTTTCTAAAGCCCATGGTATATTTGTTGCTGCTTATTTTTGGGTAAATATAATATACTTTGCATTATTAGTAGTTGATATACCATTATTTAAATAAAATATATTAATACTAGTAGGGTTAGGACTGTGTTTTTTCATAAAATTATTTCTAAATATCAGAAACTATCAAGCAAAAGTAATAATGATTCGAGAACTTGACGATATATCTTCAGAAGTGCTTTTGGATTTAAAAATAAGGACCTATAATACATTATCATAAAGTCTTCATATTAAAAAATCGGAACTTTTGTTAGCTTCTTTATTAAAAATTCATTATGATAAATGCACAGAAACAGCCACATGTCCCTGTAGGAGAAGAAACTACTTATATGATCCTAAAAAGCTGGTTTGTGGTGACTAGAAATTATAATTTCATAGAGATGATGTTTTTGTGAAACATTTTATATAAAAAATGATTTAGGAAGGATAAAGGAAATTCAAGAACTCAAAATTATTATATTTAGATAAGATTTTTTATGTATTCGAAAGTTTGAGACTTTATACACCTATTTAAGCTTCAATAAGTCAATTTAAGAAATAATATGACGATAATTTGGGTTTTTCAATTGATTTTTGTTTATATAGACTTTAGATAAAAATGCATAAATTTATTTTGGCCAAAAACATGAAAAATATAGTCCCGTAAACTCTTCAAATTGAAAATGTAAGGGAATTTGATAAAGGTATGAAAGAAATTAAAGATTCTATTCAGTCTGTGGCTAAGCTATTTGGGGATATGTGGGAAAGTCTACAAGATCAAATACCTGATTTATCTAAATTATTAAATATATGTAATAATAATTTCCTAAAAATAAAAGAGACAAACGATATATTTGAAAAATTAATAAAGTTAAATAATACATCCAGTGATTTAAAAATATATATGGATATATACGCGAATTATATAATTTATGATGAACTTTTATACTCTCAAGTTTAAAAAAGTATCTAAATGAAAAGCTGTATGGAGGTCGGAAATTCAATAAACTAGGATTTAGATTTTCTTATAAAAAAATACAATATATATGATGAGAATGCTTGTGTAGTTTCCCTTTCATCTAAATACGAGTCAATGTATAATATTATATGGGCATCTTAAAATAGTGAAAGGATTTTGGCTATAAATGCCCATAATTTAATTGGAAGAAGCATAAATGAATTTATGCCGAGAGTTTTTGCATCTTTTCATAATAAAATTTTACAAAATTTCTATAATACAGGATAAGAAGTTACTATTAATAATATTATGCATACTTGGGCTTTAGATAATAAGGGTTTTTGCTTTTCGTGTAATATTTTTTCAAAAGTAATTCCTAGTGTAGATGATTTTTAAATTATGGGGTTAATTAATAAATTAAATGATTAAGATTATATTGTTAGTGATTTTGATGGGGAAATTTGCGGTATAGGGAAAAAAGTGGCTAGTTTTATGAAAATAAATCCATAGGAATTATTAAAAAATAGACTTAATATTTAACTTATAGCACCTAAATTAATGCAGACATATAAAGATTATTTCATTGATTTTGATTATTTATTTGAAAAGCCGCGTGAATAAGTTAGTCTGAATGGTTTGAAGGTAATCGGAGCTGATTCTTCTAGCAATGCGAAAGAAGTGAAGTTTTTTATTTTCATTCCAATTGATTTTGCAGAAGTAATGAAGGAACATCTCGAAAGAAAAAAAAAGATTTTTCGTAAATATTTTAAAGATGAAAATGACGGATAAAAAGATCGTTTAATAAAAGACTAAAAATAACTTGTTTAATTTAAAAGCGATTATTTAAACTATTTATAAAATGGATTAAAAAAAATAAACTGGAAAAAACTACAAAGCATAGTAAAAATTAAAGGAATAGTTTAAGAATTCCCTTTTTTTAATGGAAATGGAAAATCTATTGTAAAGGCAATTAAAATTGTTTATTTCGAAATAAAAAAGTTGGATTATGAATATATGGAAAAAATGAAAAAGCGACAAGGTGATATAAAGGGATTTATTTCTGAAATGAAGAAAGTTCACGATGATTTCAAAAAAAAAAAAGTAAAAAATGTCTTAGATGAAGAAGTTCCGAAAGATGATAATTTCAAAATTTCAAATGTAGCAGCTCCCCAAAAACCTAAATTAAAGGGAATTTTGAATATGTTTTAAAAATAATATATCACCAATACTAATAAATTTTTACCTAATAAAAAGTAAAATAAGGATTATTCATAACAATAATATTAAAATGGATCAGAAGGTGGTGATAAAAATGAAGATATTGATAATGCAGTAAAAAAAACGATTGTTTCTTTGTTTAAGCCTTCCAATAAATATATAAAAGCTGCCAGATTGCGCAAAACATCATCTTATAATTAAAGAAATAGTTCTATAGTGGTAGTTGAGGAAAGAGAAACTGCACTTCGAAAAGCCCTAAGTAAGTAAATAAAATCGAAAGAAATAACTAATAATAATGAAGAAAATAAATTTTTAGTTAAATAAATATCATAACTTTAACAAAATACATTAATTCCTAATAATAGCAGGTAATTCGAATAATAATAAAGTCAGTTGTTTACGTAGAAATCTTTAATATAGAACTCTTCTTAATTAGAAAAACAAAACTCTAAAATTCGAAATTCAGCTTTAAATAAATAATTTTTGTTCAAATAAAAAAGTATAACGTAAGAAGAAGAAGAAGAAAAAGAAGAAGATCTTCCTACACTTCCCACTTGTGCAAAATTTAGAAATATTTTAATAAAAAAAAATATGTTAGGAAATAAACCTAAAAGTTTTTTTTTTTAAGAAAAAAGTAAATAAAACGAAAGTGGATTTATGTTTGATTTTGACGAAGAATAAAAAGTAATTTTTTTTATTATTATAATTATTGTAAATTAAAAATAAAATAAAAAGAGAACACTAAATAATATAAAAGTTTAAGACTCAAAAGAAAATAATAATAATAATGGTGAAGAAAAAAATTTAAAACAAACAACTTCATTAGAAAAGAATTCTAAATAAGGACTATCAGTAAAATCAAAAGGATTTATGATTTTAAAAGACCGTTTATAGAAAGGTCAATTATATAAATAATTAAAAACAATAAAAGAAAAAGATAAACATAACAATCATAATAAAAATAATAATTTTGACGAAACATCCTCAGAAGATGAAGCGAACATAGACGAGCTCAAATTATTATTAAAGAATGAAGTTTCTTAATAATCAGAAAAGGAAAAGCGTAATCTATTAGAAAATCTAGAAAGAAAAGAAATAAAAGAAGAAGAAAAAGCTATAGGTTAATCAATAGGTTCTACATCATCTTTAAATGCATAAAATGCATTAAAAATATTAAGAATATCTTTATAAAACATGAAGATTCCATAAATATTAATAACAGCAAATTATTTAGTATTTTCTATGTGTATAACGATAATTATAATAACATCGGCATAATACATATTAGTAAATTCGAAATTTTCCGATATAAAAGATTAAATAAATATAATAAATAGAATAACTGCCTATAGTGAAAATATAACTTTATTCTATTATACTTATTAAGATATGAAATTTACTTAAAATAAGATTTATTAAGAAAACAATTCTTTTGCAAAAGATGAGTGGTGGAATTTTATTAGAAAATTTATTAAAGAAAAACAAGATATTTTTGTTAATTTTACTTTAAATGATTTAAGTTAAGTTGAAGGATAAGCCTAAGGAAATTATATATTTGAACATATGTAAGCCCATATTTTAATTAATAAATAAGAAACTTTACTTGATATTAATTATTAGAAGTTTATTCGACTTTATATGAATGCAATTAATAATACAGTAGAATATGAAAAATAGTTTTTTGATTATCCCTTTTTTAAAAACGATGATTTTCTATATTTTATTGATAGAAATTTAGATAATTAAATTGCCTAAAATGAGCTTAATTATTTAAATACATAAAATAAAATGGATTAAACACTTGACTATTAATTATAATAATTTTTAGCCCTTTGGATTTTATCTTTTGTTCTTATTTTTATAGCTTTTGTTATCATTTATCCCATTATTTTTCAATCCAAAACTAAAATACATGATTCGCTTGCTCTTTTTACAAAAATATCCATTAGAGATGTTGACAATTACGCTGCTTAGTATAAAAAAATGACTTATTTGTTCCATTCTGTATCTAATATTTAAAACTTACTTAAGGAAGTTGAGAAATTTATGGAGTTTTAGTAAGATTTTATAATTAAATAAAAAAAAGATCATGATACTAAATCTATTTCTCGTTCAAGGAATTATAAAGGTATTTTTTAAATAAAATATATAAAAATAATCACTTATATAATTTAATATAATAAACTTATTTAAAATAAAAAAATTGAAAAAAAAAAAAATATTTTTACGAAAAAAAATAAGGTGTAACAATAAATAAATTATAGTTTTTTTTACAAATGTTTATACTATTTGTATTTTTTACTTCACTTATAATCTTAAAAGACATAAATTTATTATTTTTTATGAAAAAAATAAAGATTTAAAAGACTATCATTTATTATAATAAAAAGTCTTTTATAATAATTTAAAAAGCGTAGTTTATTATAAAAATACTCTATAAAACTTTATATAATCACAAAATTTTTAATTTTATTAAAAAAATGCCCTTTAAATAAAAAATACCTTAGATAGTAATATAACATCATTAATTTATCAAAATTTCAGATATTTTGGTGAAATAGACTCCTCTTATAAGAGCTTCATGGATGTTTTAACAACTTAAAATTTATGTGAAAAAATAGTCAAGATAAGTGATGATTTATGCCAAGATTAAGGACTTTTGAGAAAAGGTTATTCCAATTTTTTCATTTATGTTGAAAACTAAATACTTAATGGGCTTGATAATATAGAGTTTATGTATATTAAAAAACCTTTATAAAGCAAATAAGCAGCTCTTGATCTTTTAAATGATAAGCTTTTGTACAAAATGCAATTTTTATATTAGTATGTGAATCTTATAAATTAAGAATGGAAAAATAATGAAATAAATGCATTTTATAAAGGAATTAATGATTAATTGCTTTTTTCTTTAATTGTTTTGGTTGCATATAATTTATTGATTTTCTTGTTTTTGGTTTTGATTTGGACTTATATTTACGAAAAACTAAAAAATAACTCAAAATGGGTTAATGGATTTATATTACTTATTCCTATATAAATGTTAAGAGAAAACTAATACTTAAGAAGCTATTTGAAATAAAAATTGCAGATAAATAGTCTTTCCTATACTTGAATTATATATTTATTTACGGGAGATTTTTTTTATTTTAATAAATGTACAAAAATGCAAAATTAATTTACTTTTTTTTTGTTTATTTATATTGCGTTTTTTATTATTATTTATGTAATTTCGTTTTATATGTTTTTATTTATTTCAAAAAAATTAAATATTATTATTAATTAATATAAAAGAATTTTAATTAGTAATAAAAAATGCTTTTAATCAATAATTACTTTATAAAATGATATAATTTAAATAATAGGAATAAAAAATAATTTATATTAACACTAAATACTATATTTTCATAAAATAATATATCTTTTATAGTTATTATTTAATTATTATACTTATACTTATTTAAAAAAAAAAATATTATTTTTAAAATAGTTTATGTTAATTAATGTATATTTATAATTTAAATATTTATAATAAATTATATTATATGTTTATAAATATAACGGTATATATATATATAATTGTATAAATTTAATATATTCAAATATAATTATATAAATAAATCTAAATACATAAAATAATATAAATATAATTAAAAGTTATTAAATATTTTATTTTTTTCTGTTTGTAATAAATAAACTACTTTTAAATTAATTAAAAAAAAAAGAATGAATAACAAAATTTATAAGTTTAATTGTGAAAACATCAATTAAGGTTTTAAAAAAATATTATTTTTATTTAAATCATTTTTATAAAGTTGGCGTTCTTAATGAATAAATATAAGAAATTATTGATTAATATAAAGGAATAAACAATAAATATGAGTATTCATACATATGTTTATTCAATAATATTTAAAAAAAATAGAAGAAGCATTTTAAAATAAGAAAACTTTTCCAAAAACAATTAACTTATCGAAAAAAAAACAGAAAAGAATTCGTAAATAATGCTCTTACAAAAATAAAAAGAATTCCAAATAAAAATACAACTAAAATAAAAATTAAAAAATATTACAATAAAATCATTATCTGTATATTTTTGTTAAAAATAAAATACAAAAGAGAATATAAATATATATATATATATATATATATATATATATATATATATATATATAAAAGTCAATAAAATTAATGATAAAACCATTAGAAACTGTATAGCATATATCCAAATGTATAATATATTTAACTGAAACATTAAAACCGGAAGAAGTTTAAAAAATAGAATCCAAAACATGGTTAGATATATAGGAATATTTCCGAAATCCTTAAATGCTATTTAATTAAATATAGAACATAGAATATTTTTTAAAACAAAAAAAATTAACTTTAAATAATTAAATGCGAAAAACTTAACAAATAAATTCCTGAAATTTTAATTCATAATAATTAAATTTTGGAAGAATAAATGCTTATATTAAAAGAATTTATAGATATATCAATACAATTTTATAATATATATAATAAAAAAAATAAACTATTATCTCCTTAAAAATAAAAAAGAATAACTTAGATATTCGAAAATTCAACTTCAAAATAAAATAATGTAAAATAAATACCAAAAACAATAAAAAATAAAAAAACTTAACGTTAATTAAGTCGAAATTCTTCTTAATCTAACTAAAATAGTGATTTGAAAAAGAGAAATTAAACAGCAGCCTCAATGAAAATATCAAGATTGGATAAAATATTAAATTTAAAAGTTAAAAAGCCTTAAGTTTTTTCTTGCGTTAAGAAAATTATTCAGAACTTTGAATAATTTTCTCAAACGTCATTTTCAAGTAAAAAAGAAAATTCTTTCCTACTTAAAAATTAATAAAGTGAAATTTTTCTTGAAAAATAATCAAAATTAAATCATTAATTAAAAGAAGAACTTATCAAAAATTTTTCTTAAAAATAAATTATTAAAGTATTTTTTTTTTTATTGATTTTTTTTTTTTATTTTTTGTAGAAAAAAAAAGTTTTGTCTTTATATAATTAAGAAATTTAAAAAAATTATAATAATAATAATAAATAAAATACTTAAATTAGTTCTTTTTTAAATAAAAAATCACAAAAGAATAATATTACTTGGATAAGTAAATCACCTCACAAAAATAATAAATCTAATAGCAATTTAATTATACCTATTGAATCTTAAGTAATATATATGTATATATATATATATATTTATATGTAAAAAAAAGATTTAATAATAATTAAAAAACTCATAAGAAAAAAAACTTAAATTAGAAAATGCTTTTGAAAAAACAATTTAAGTCATTTATAACTTTAGAAAAGTTACAAAAAGAAAATGTTTTGAATGATATAAAAGAAGTTTTTTTTTTTTTAATTATTAATAAAAATATATATTATATATATTTTTTATAAAAAAGAATTATTAATATATAAGAAATAAGTAATTAAATTTATAAATTATGTTAAAAAATATATAAAATAATTTAAAAAAATTAACCAGTTTTTAGAGGAATAAAAACAAAATAAAAAATGTATAAATTAACTAAAATTTGCAAAAAATAATAAAAAAAATTAAAATATATTTCTTCCCAAAAAAAGTAATAATAATAAAAATCTCATTCTAACTTTGCCCATTCTATAACAAGTTTTCTCCCATAAAAATGTGTATTTTCCAATGCAGTGAATGCATTTTTAGCTTCTTAAGTAGTAGTAAATTCCACAAAAGCAAACCCTCTACAAAATAAAAAATTAAAATATAAAATAATTAAAAATTATATACCTATGTTAACCATTCATTTTTTTAGGTAATCTAACACTCTTAACTTCTCCAAATCCTTTTATTAATTCTCTAACTTCTTTTTTATCAGTTTCAAAAGCCAAATTTCTAATAACAATTTTATTTGAAATAGGAATATTATTATTTTTTCCTTTTTTTTATTTTCCTTTATTATCTTCCTATTATTATTTTCCTTTTGATACACTTAAATGTAGACATCTTCCCTAAAACAGTGAATTTTATAGTCTTTTTATACATTCTTAAACTGCTGAGCTATTCTTATATTCAACAAACCCATAACCTTGGCTATTATTATTTTTTTTAATAATTTTCACAGCTTTTATTTCTCCTAAATTTTATTTTTCAAAAAATTCTTTAAGCTCAGTTTCCTAAACCGAAAAGTCCAAATTTTTTATATATACAACTCTCGCAAGCTCATCATCAATTTCTTCTTATATTTTTTAATGTTTTTCAACCTCTTCAGTTTTTAATAATCCTATCGGAGCCCATTCTAAATATAAAGGACAGTTTTTTAATGAAAAATAAGATAATTTCTCAAATGCATTCTATGCATGTTCTTCACTTTCAAACTAAACAATACCTATAGACCTGTTAGGGCTTATCAATAATCTTGTTACGAATCCAAATCTTTCAAAAAGTTCACTTAATCCATCTTCTTGAATTTTAAAAGGCAGATTTTTTACTAAAATAATATTTTTAGATCTTTCATTAGTCCTTCTATCATTATCTAAGAAATCTAAACATAATCCTTCTTACTTTTCCATCCATTCCTTTGTTTCAGCAATTACTTATGCTTCAGCGTTAGCAACTCTAACTGCTAAACTACCCTATGCTTAAGGAGAAAGTATATCACTCTAAAATAAAATATATTATCATAAATAATTATATTTAAAAATATTAATTATAAAAATATAAAAAAATATTAATATATATATATATTTTATATAAATATAAATATTTTATAAAATATATAAAATATATAATATATATATATTTATATATTAATATATTTATATATTTATTTATTATTTTTATATCTATTTTTATATCATTAATTTATATTTATTTTTTAAGTTTTTATATTTATGTATATATTATCTAATTTTTTTATTTTCTTTTTTTATTAATTCATATTTTTATATATATTAATGTTATTTATATTTTAAATTTATTTTTATGTTTACTTTTTTTAGATCATAACGTTTTGAAATAGTTTCTAGAATTGAATTAGGATTTAAAAAAAGAGTATTCCAATTAGAATCATCTTTTAGTTTTTATTTAAGTTCAAATTTTTTTTTTTTTTTAAATTGAAGATTTTTCCTATTCGATTTCATATTAAGGTTTTTAAATTTTAGGTTCTTCTTTTTTATTTTCTTCAAAAGAAGGCCTTACATGTAAAATTCTTCCAAATTATATTTTATTATCTAATTCTCCAAAAGCCCTCATTGCTTCACCTTATAAGCTATATTTTATAAACGCAAATCCTCTAAATTTACCTCCGACTCCTTTTGGCATTTTAATTTCTTCTATTTTTCCATATTTTTAGAATACTTATTTTACTTCTTCTTCTGTAATATCATATGGTAAGTTCAAAACATATAATCTACACTCATTTATTTAATTATTATCATTTTCTATTACCTTTTTTTTTCTATATTTGGTATTTCTTTTAATTAATTGAATTATTAATCAATAATATTATTTAACTTTTGTTCTTTATTTTCTTATTTTTCTTTTAGTTTGTTCACTTTTTTTTTATTAATTATAACATCAGACCAACTCATATTGCTTTTAGAACCAGTTTTCATTAAATTTAAATATTCTTAAAATTTTTATTCCTTAGAAATTTTAGATGGGTCAAATTCTTCTTATTAATCATTATTTTATTTTTTTATATTTTTATTTTTGACTAATTATTTTTATTTTTCATCTTAATTATTTATTTATTTCTAAATTTTATATAATTTTAAAAATTTTATATATAATATACATTAGTATATTTTGACCATGTTTTAGGTAAATCAGGATCATCTAAAGTTTTAGCAAATTAAACAGATAATTTATTCATTTGAAGATAGGTATTATTAAAATATATTAAAGCATTTTATGCATCTTATGAATTTTTATAACCTAAAAAATAATAATTAATTTACTAAAAACAAATATATGAATAAATAAATATATATATAAAAATAAAATATATATATATATATATATATATAAATATATAAATAAAATATATATTAGATATATATTTAAATTATATTACTAATTTTATATATTATTTTTTTACCTATGAAGCAAAATCTTCTATGTTTTTATCCTTTAAAACATATTTTAACATCTGTAACAACTCCTTATTTCGAAAATATTTCTTTTAATTTTTTTTCATCAATATTAGTTGGTATATTTTTAACAATTATACGACTTGTCATGTTTTTTAAAAATTATGTAATATTTTTTAATTTTATATTTATAGTATTTTTATCTATAAAAATTATTATTCATAAATTTTTTATATTATAAAATTATATGTTATTTTGTATATAATTAAAAAAAAAATATTTATTATTATTTAAAAATTATAATTATTTTTATAAATAATTATGTAAAAAATATTTTAATGTATTAGATAATGTATTAATATATAAAATAAAATATTCTTCTACAAAATAAAATATGCCATTATTCATTGAAAAATAAAAATTATTTATAGTAAAAAAAATAATATAAAAATAATATAAAATTTATTTTAATTTAATTATAGAAGACATAAAAAGTATTTAAAAAATTAAATGTTTTAAATATCATATATAAAATTATATACTTATATATTTAAATATTAATAGTAAAATATTTATATATATAGATATATATATATATATATTGATATATATATATATATACTTTTACTAATATATTTAATAATTATATACTTTTTAATTTTTTTTTTTACTTTTGTATTTTAATTCTGTTTTTAAATTAGTTTTTTAATTAAAAAAATAAAATATTATTTTATTTAAAATTTTTTCAATTAAAAATATATTATGATTATTATTATAAATATATCATTTTTTTAATACTTATTTTAATATAATTATTATTTATTAACCTTCAGATATATCTTCATATATTTAAATTTTTTTTTAATTTTTTGTTAAAAATCAAAATATATATAATAAATTATTATTTTATATTAATATATTTTTTTTAAGTATAAAAAGTATAAAATAAATTCTAAAATTATGAATTTCTATTTAATATACATTAGTATTTTATAAGATATAGTAAATAAAAAGATATAATTTTGAAGTTAAATTAAATAAAATAATAGCAAGAATAATCCTTTTTTTCCAAGAAAATTTTATGAATTTATCTAGTAAATAGCATATTAAATTTTATTTAAACTTATTGTTAAAATATTTCCTATAATTTAAGTAAAGTAAAGGATTATATTTTTTAGCTTTTAAAAATAATATTTTTATATATTAATAGAGAAATTGTGATAATAAAAATGGATTCGAAACAGATATTTTAAAACTTTTTTATTTTTTTTTAATAAATAAATATAACTGCATATAAATATTATTTTTTTTTAAAAAAAAATTGTTTTTAATATATTTTAATTTTTATAAAAAATAAAAATGAGTTGTTTTAATATTATTGATAATATTTCAAGTAAATATTTTTTTATTTCTAAATATAATCATATATATATTTCATTTTTAAGATTCGAATATTATTATTGGTCATCCTAAATTACCTTTAATAGCTTATGAATCAGGTAAATAAATTAAATCAAATAAAAAATAATTTAATAATTAAGGTTGTTGCGCTTTTTTATGGGATTTATTATATGATAAAAAAATATAAATGCATCGTCATTAAAATGAAGTATAAAAAAATCCATAAAAAAAAAAAAATTATATAAATAAGATATAAGACATATATTTAAATGAATAATATATTTTTTCAGTTGATAAAGGACCTTAAGCAAGCTTTTTTATAAGCGAAATAAAGTCTTTAAAAAGAGTATAATAATTTTATTTACCAGAAAATTAAAAATTCGATTAAAATTAAATAAAAATATGCTTTTCTGATAAATATTAACAAATAATTATTGTTGAAAATCAATTTTAATAAGGATACAGAATGTCTGTTTGGGATTTTAAAAGAGAAAACAATTTAAATTTATTTTTTATTAAAGAAATAGAAATGTATTAAATATCACAATAGGTTTATTAGAATTTTTTATATAAAAATATAAATATTTAATAGGTTTAATTAATTGAAGCATAACATAATTTGCATATAGTAATTTCTGAATAAAATTGTTTAAAAATATGGAAACTATAATAAAAATATGTTCAATTAATAAGAAAAATTAATTTTATAGAATAAATAAAAGAGTTTAAAATTGTAAAAGAAAATAATTTGATTTTAGTTTGTACTGCTTTAGGTCAAATATAAATTATAGATTAAGACGTATTTTTTTTCCGTAAATTAATATTTTTAATATATAAGGGAAATAATTTACAAAATATTAATAATTAATTTATTTTTACTACTTTGAATACTTTTAATTATATTCTTTTTGCTGGAGATTAGTCAGGGACTGTAAGTATTTATGATTTATCTGATTCAAGGAAAATAAATGAAATTCCTTATTTTTAGAAAAGTGTTGATAGCATTTCATTAAATAATTTGAATCAATAAGATTAAGAAGTTTCTTTTTAAAATAATTGTATTTATTAATATTTGAAGGGGCAAGCAGTAAAATAAATATAAATTTTAAGTAAGAAAAATAATAAAAAAAACCGCTAAGTTAATTTTTTATTTATTGTTTTTAAAAGATTTTGGAAAAATTATATGTATTAATTATGAAGAAGGAATGACTATTATTTATGACATTTAAAAAAAAGAAATTATTTAATAAATTAATGCTCATACATAAAAAATAAATTGTTTAATTTGGGTTTAATTTTTTTTTTTTTAACTGTATATTTATTTATACATAAAATAATAAAAAAAAAAAAAGAAGGTGATATAATTTAAAATAGATTTTATACAACTTCAAATGACGGGAATTTTTCAGTTTGGGATTATGAAAATTATAGATGGAATTGTAGAATTTTAAATATGAATAGAATTTTGAATAAGTAAATTTTTATTATATTTTCATATTTTTAATCTGGAAAAAAAAAATAGAGAAGTAAATCTGAAATAAATATGCATAAATAATTATTTATAAAATATATATATTTCCGATAATTCAGGAAATATTATTGTTTTAGATTTAGATTCAGGAAAGTACATAAATTCATTTAAAATTTCCAGTTTTAAAATAAAAAATATGGCTTTATGTTTAAAAGGAAAATATTTAGGAATAATACTAAATACATCAAAAAGCCTTATTTTTGAAATATGTAAACAATTTAAATTAGTATTAATATTAGAAGATAATTTAGAAATAAAATAAACTAAATTTTATAAAGGTAATAAAATAAATTATTTATATTTATTTCTTATATAAAAAAAGGCATTAAATGTATTAATGGGTAACTTAATACGCCTGAAATAAATAATTTTACTATATTATGTTCATATTAACATAACTAAATAAGAATGCATTAAATATAAGATAATTATTTCTTAGGAATTTCAAATTCTATAGCATAAAATATTTTTAAAACAGAAGGAGTTATTAGTGGATTTGAAATACATTCTTCTATTTAATATTTAATCATATTGGATAAAATTGGCTTAGTATATATATATACATTAAATCATGCATAATTAAGGGCAAGGATATAGGTTCCTATATTTTGTAAAAGTAATTATAAATTTTTTTAACAAAACATATATATAAGATATATAAATAAAAAAAAAAAAGATTTATGTGTTGATAAAAGTGGACTTTATTTTACAATTAATTCATTTTTAAATGCTGAAAATATAAATAAAGAAATAAATGAATTTAAACTAACAAATAATGAATAATATTATAAATTAATATCATAAAAATAAAAAGTTTAATGTAATTTTTTTTTTTTTCTTAAACTAATAAATATTAAAAATTTAAATTAACAAAAAGTGAAGAAAGTTCTTATTTACGAATTAGGAACTGGTCAACTGATAGGGGTAGTAAATAATTTATTTAATTGTACTAATTTATAATTTTCTTATGATTCTAAATATTTATCAATTACTAGTGATAAAGGGATACTTTCTATTTGGTAAACAAATGATGAAATATACAAAAATATAAAATTTGTTTTCGATTCTATTATAATTTATAATAAATTTTGGGATGATTTTCCCATTTATCTTGAATAAAATATGTACGTAAAAAATAATTAAATTTAATTAAAACAATTTTTTTTTTTTTTAAACAAAAATAAAAAGAATTGATTAAAAAAAAAAGATGAAAATATTAAAATAATAAATAATTTTTTAAAATAAATGAACTAAAAATAATAATAAGAATAAATTTAATAATCCAAAAAATTAGAAATAGAAAAAATAATAAAAGAAAAAAAGAAAAAAACATAGAATATAAATAAAACTTCTTTTATAATAACGCCTAAAAAAATGCAAGACACATAAAAATATGAATCCATATTTTCTAATTCATAAAAGACCCAAAAATATGAAACTTCAGATAAAAAAAGTGACCAAGAAATTCAGAAAAAACCAATATATACGAATGATTATATAATAACAATAAATAACTAATAAATGTCGCCTTTTAAAACACACTAAAATTATCAAAATGAACCTGACGATATTGATATAAAATTTAGAAGCCCATCAGATATTGATTATCATCCAAAAGACCCTATTGATATAGATTAAGATGTAAAGAATCCAATTGATATTAATTTTTAAGTAAATTAGGATTATATAGATACTTATAAACATTATTTATAATAAATACCTTAGTTTCTGAATTTATATTGATTTTTGTTTAACTTTTCTAGAATTAAGCAAAAAAAAAGTGAATAAAAAAAATAATTTATTTTTATTTGTAAAAAATTCAAAAAGTAGATTTTAATTGTTAATTGACTATGTATTTATTTTAATATATATATTCACCTTTTGGCCAAATTACACTAGTACATTATGAAGTTTATGTTTTACCTTATTCTTCCATTTTACCCTTTTTTCAATTAGTCTTAATAATAAGTTACATTATTCTATATAAAATATCCATATCCATTGTTTTCTCATATATCCATACAAAATTCACAAGCCCCCTAGCTTTAAATTTAATCATTAAAAAAGTTTCCTTTAAATTTATTTATAAAAATTTTCAATTTCATATTCTCCTCCTATTTTGAAAAAAGCCTTTATATCAATTCCTTTGACAGCTTTTAATTTCTCCAAAGCCATGCTTTTCCACATTTTTGATTTCTCCAATATAAATACCCTCATCATTTTTCATTAAAGCACAATTACCTTTATGTTTTACCATCTGAAAAATCTCCTTTGAGGTAATTTCCTTGATTATCTAAAAAAAGCATATGTCCTAAAAATTATAATTTTCACAATTTCCTTTATAAAATTTTAGTTAGCAACAAAAAAAAATTAAAAATATTAATTTTTTTATGTCTATTTGATTATTTCATTAAATTCATAAATTAGTTAATATTATATTTATATTTTTTTTTGTTATTTATATTAAATATGTATTTGTATTTGTTTTTGTTTAATCGTTTTCTGATTATTTTTTTCTGTTTATTTTAAATAAACCATATTTATTATTTTTCAAAGATGTCTTCCAAAAATCACAAAACTAATATTCTTATTCCCATATTATAATATGTAAGCCATTTTTTTTATTAATCAAATATATTTATAATTTTTATGTTTGTAATTATTTTTCCATTTATTAATAATCTAATGAAATTTTCTAATAAGATTTTTTTATAAATTATTCACCTAGTTCTAATCTTGTAAACTTTGAAATTCCTTTTATTTTACTTAATTATAGATTTTATAAAACATATATTATTATTTTTTCTAATATAAATAAATAAACTTATTTGTTTTGTTTTATGTTATGTATTTATTTTTTAATATATATTTTTAATAAAAAAAAAAAAATACAATAAGAAAGATATTTTACTAATACATGTAATTTTAAGTTTGAAATAATATTTTCTTTTTTTTTTTCTTTTTTTAATAAAGCTAAGACATAAATATAAATTCTAAAAATTAATATTTAAATATAGTTTAAAAATAAAATTATATCTTTAAATTAATTTAAATATAATATAAAAAATATCAAATATAATGGAAAAACTTACAGAAGTACATTAAATATCATTTTTAGATTCTATAACAGTAATAATATGCGCATTATTAACTACATCAATAGCCGAACGTTTAATAAAAAATAAAAATAATAATAATAAAAAAAAAAAAGTAACAACATGGTTAATAGTATATAGAAAAGATGAATATAAATCATTAAAAGCAAACATAGAAAAAACTCAAATAAAATTAGATAAATAAAAGGAAGTATATTTAACAATTTCATAATAAGCAGGTAATGATAAAAAAATATAATAATTAGAAAAATAAATGAAAACTTTGAACTAAGAAATGAGTACTTTTAAAATGAAATCAACTCTATTAATTGCTTTATTTATGTTAGTAACATTGTCATCTTTTGGTTCATATTTTGCAGGCATTTTTTTAATTTTTTTTTTATTAAAATAACAAAAAATATTAGGTATTGTGGTTGCCAAATTACCTTTCGAACCATTTTATTTATTATAAAGTCTAACCCATAGAGGCTTAATTGGAAATGATATGACTGATTGTGCATATATATTTATATATGTATAATCAGCATATATATGGAGAACAAATATCTAGAAATATTTTGGTAAAAAGATAACTATAAATAAATTTAAAAAGTATATTTAATATACATAGGATTCGAACCACCTTAAAATAAATAAAATGCTTGGGGATAGTAAGGATTTGGATTATAAAAATGAAAAATATATTTAATTTTTTTAATATATATTAAATAAAAAATATATATATATATTTATATATATATATATATATATATATATATATATATATATATATAAAAAAAAATTTAAATATTTTAGTATATATATATAATAAATAAACAATATATATATAAATCATAAAAATGAAATAAATATGATAACAAATATAATTTTTTTATATTTAAGTATATCGAAATTATTAGCAGATTTAAATTATTTTGTTTTAAATTATCTTGTATATACATCAGTATATTTTGATTTATCATCTGCATTCTCACTACTTCCAACAAAATAAATAATATAAGAAGTGTTATTTTTTAGATTGTCAAATTAAAATACCGAGTTTTCATATTCATTTTCGTTTTAATAAGCAATTTACATTCCATTCTAATAAACAGTTCCTTTATAAAATAAATAAATTTATAAATTAAAAATTACCTAAATAATTAACTCCGTTTCTTAATTAATATGCTTAAGGTTTTAATGATTATTACGAAAATTCTTCTAATGCTATAAAAATATATCTAAATAAAAATAAGAAAATAAATTAGAATAAAAATAATAATAATAATAATAATAATAATAATAATAATAATAATAATAATATAATAACCCATCTTATTTTAATTTTAAATTTGAAATTTTAACACTTTATATTTCTGGTGTAATAACCTCAGGATTAGTGAAATCAAATTCCGCATTTTAAGGGAATACTGGAGTTAAATCGGATATACTTTTAACTGAAGATATATCATTTATATAATCTATAAATAATTTTTCTATAGTGCTTTTTTATATAAGTGAGTTTTTAATAATATTGATTCTTTGTATATAATTTTCTATTTAAAAAAGTGGTTATATATAAACTGTTATTTTATTTAAGTTTTCCTTTTTTTTACTTATAGGTTCTAAATATTTTGTTCTTATATTATTTTTATTACAATTAATTCCTTCTCTTAAATATATTTATGACATTGGTATTACTAAATATTGATTCAAAATACAACAGATCTTTCTTTTTTGAGCTAAACTTAACTTATTATCAAAAAGAATATCAAATTTATTTAATTAAGCCCCATTTTCTTTTATTAATAATTCTATAGTTAATAAAGAACTTGCAACATTAGACAAAGACTCACAAAACCCTTCAATTTTATACTTTTAATTGGCCAAAAGTTGATCGAAAATAATACCTTAATTACCTCCATCTTTAAAATGATAACCATATTGTTCTTCCAAAATATATTATTATTTAAAAATCTATATAAAATGTATTAAATTGAATAGAAAAATAAAATAAAAAAATAAACTACTTTATATTTTTATAAACTTTTTTATTTAATAAGTTTTTAATCTGCAATTGCTTTATCTTTTAAAGAAATTCTATAATAAGAAATTCCAGAACTTGTACAAGAGAAAAAAATTTATTATGAAGTTATTAATAATTAGGAACTTTCTTTATATTCAATATGAAAGGAAGGTTAATTTCTTGATATTTATTGACTTTAGACTGCTTATTTATTAATAATTGAGTAAAAAGCTGAGCTAAAACCAAAAATAGTAAATGAAAGTTCAAATTTACTAGAACAACTATTTATTTTTATTTAAAAGTAATCTTCAGCATTTTCTTTTGTTATTATCATTTTTTTCCCTTTCACTATTTCTATGTCTTAAGGTCCATCAACAATAATAGAAATTCCTTACATTGGTAACATTTAACTTAAATCAATTACAAAAGGAGGAGATATACTGTTACATGGAATATTTTACACAAAATTTTAAAATTGAATTTCATATATTTAAACTTTTACATTAACTCCTATATGTATTTTTTTTTTTTTTTGTCTAATTATTTAAATAATTTTGTATAAATAAATAAAAATACTTAAAGAAGGAATTTCAGCAAAAATTTAATACAAATCATTTGTTTTTTCAAAATAAGCTAAATATTCCCCTTCTTGTAAATTTTCAACTGCTCCAATTAAAAATTAAACAGAATTTTCACCAATTTAATTATTTATGCTTTCAGGATAAGTTCTGAACTTTTTTTTACTCTAAAAAGTTAGTTGAACTTCAAAAGGACCTCTAAATTCAATTGCTTATGAATTATTATTAATATCTAAAGCTTTTAAAATGACATTAGTAGCAAATACACCATTAAAAGCGTCTATTTAATCAATTTATTTACCAGATACAGGATTAAACCAGGCAAAATAATATTTTGTTTTATCAAATGAGAAGTTCAAAACTTTCTAATTAAATAGCTATTAATCACCAAAATAAATAGTATTTCCTTAGTTTTAATCAATTAAGCTTATAGATGGCTTAATTAAATTCATAGTGTCTGAATTCCAGATTTCAGGATTATAGATAAAAGAAATTTCCAATAAATAATTATAAAAGGCATTAGATTATTTTAAACCAAGAATTTATTCCTCGTTTGCAAATAGAACTGCCTTAATTTAATTTTCTTCAATTTTGCACAATTATCCTAATACTATATTTAATTCTAAATTTTTAATTGTACATTAACTTGGAGCATCTCCCTATTATTTTTAGTTTTTTTATTTTATATATTATAAAATTTTAAAAATACATTATATATAGGCCATTAATTAGGCATGTTTATTTAAAAAAAGATGAACTTTTTATTTATGACTGTTTTATGCTCATTATAAAATTGTATGTGGCTTTTTAGGCTATTATTTGGCTAGAAATATCAAATGAACTTATAACTAAGGGTTCTACTTTTATTTTACTTTAAGAAACTAGTTGGGTATATCCCTATTCATAATTACTTTGATGATCTTTATCAAAAATAACTTTTAAAAATAAGCGAGAAGAATCGTTTTGACTTGTGAGTTTTATATTTTTTAACTAAATAGTGAATTAATTTGAAGTTAAAGTATATATTCCTGTTATTCTAATAGAATAATAACCTTATTAGAAACAATCTACAAGTAAATTATTTAATTTACAAATAATTTTATAATTAAAAAAAGGTTCTTCGTAAAAATTGAAAGGAAAAATAATAAAAATTTAAGAATTGAAATTTAATAGTTCTATTATTTAAAATAATAAATAAAAATAATATATAGAGAATTTACTTTAATTTTAAGTTTTTAAAACAATTTCGATTTCAGATAAGGAGCCTTCTGAATTAGCCAAAACTTAAGAAATAAAAGGAAATCCTTAGACCATATTTTTTGAGTTTTCGAATTTCGGGAAAACATAATTATTAAATTAATCAATAAGTTAATTATTTGATAAATACTAAACAGAAACACTAATAGGAATAATAATAGTTTTTGAAGGAATGATAATGTGTGAACATTTAAGGAAAAATTAATTATGGTCTTTTTATTACTCGAATTCTTTTTTTACATTTAGATATATTTTATTATTTTTATATTCTATTTTTGAAAAATAGAAATTAATATTTTTATCTTTATCTAATATTTAACACATTTATCCTATATTTTAATTCAGTTATTCATTTAAAATACCAATAGTCCCTAAATCAATAATTATTTAGTTAAATATATTTGCATTATAAAGCATTTTTTATATTTTATCTTCAAAGAAGCCAAAATTTAAATATAAATTCGCAAATGAATCTTTCACTAGCAACTATTTACCAGAAAATAAAAAATCCTCAAATAAAACATTTTTTTCATAAATAAATAATTTATTCTAAGTTTAAATCATTGAAAATCTTAGTAAAAGTTAATCTTTAGAATACTTAAAAAAAATATATATATAAATACATATATATATTTTATATATATATATATATATATATATATATATATATATATATTTACTGCAATATTATAATCTTAATTACAGACTGCTTATAAATTATAACATTATAATAAAGTAAATCTAGTTTATAAATTAATTTCTGAGCTTAAATCTATGATATCGTTTCCATAAAACAATATTTAATAAAATGAAAAAGAGCAAATACTACAATTTCCTAATTTAAAATCTATAGATAATTAATCACTATTAGCCAAAACAATGCATCCGTATTCAAATTAATTTAAATTATCATCAAAAACTAAAAAAATACAATTTTGACCAGGAGAAAATAATAATTTACTGAAAGAAATTCTAATAAACATATCTTTATTAAATTAAATTGGGCTTTTAATTTCAAATCTAAGCATATTATCTTTAGATAAACTAACCAAAGTATCTTAAATTTAATCTTGTTTTTAAATTATTAGATCATTAGGATTTTAAATATTTATTCTAATTTAATTAAACAATCTTAAATACCCTCTAGAATTAGAAAAAGTGAAAAAAGTATTGCTTTTATCAACTATTTATTATTTAGGTAAAATAAAGTTATTACATAAAACTACTAATTTACTGTCTTCAGATCTATATGGACATATAAGGACATACTTATTAGAAGAGAAAGTAAAAAACGAACAAGTTTCGCCATTAAAATTGCATTTAGTTGCACTTCCTGAGTTAAAAAATTCCCAATTTGTTATCATAGTAAAGGCTGCGCCTGTTAGTTTTGTAGATTGATTATTAGAATCAATTGAATTAGGTTAGCTTTGGGAAAATTTTACATTTATTTATACATTTTCTGCTTTTTCGCCTACTTTAAAGCCTGTAGTAGAGATAGAAAAATCATTAATAGTTACAATTTAATTATAGTTATAACCTTAATTTAAAAATGTATTTAATTAAAATGAGCGATTTTCCTAAAAATAAAGGCGTCTTTATATAGGAGGAGTTTCAATTATATTATTAGAAGAAGAAGTTAATCTATAAATTTATTGTATTTCATAATATTACTATTTATTTGTAAAATATGAACTTGTGATCAAACTACTTACATATACATGAATTTCTTATGAATTTCTTTCTAATTTTATTGGAATTATTACATCGATTTGATTATCTTTATTTTTATTTTTTGTTAAAACAAACAAACAAAATTATTTTACTTTCATCTTATATTAGTATTTAATTCATATTTAAATAGATTAAACCATTCGAAAATTTACCTTAATTTTAAGGCATTCTAAAGCCTTTAAATCCAAAAATATTACTGTTTTTTGCATTTTTGGAAAAACATTCAATATTAAAATTACTTTATTCAACTTATATATTTATTTATTTTTAAACAAAATAAAAAAATAATATATACCTTATTCATCATTTATATCATTAATAAAGAAAGATCCATCAAAAAAAATTGCAAAAGCATTGCTTTATGTGCTAGGAACTTACATAGTAATTCTTAGAAAAGCAGGGACTATTTCTGGGCTATTACCGAATTCTAAACCCTTATAATAATTAATAATAGAAATATTATAAGCATCTCTACTAGAAACATCCAATAAATCAATAGTGTATGCATTAACAAGCATTTATCCAATCTAAAGAGGTAAATTGGAATTAATTTTATCATAACTAATAATATAGAAATCCAAACTTCTATCACTAACATACAAAGAACTATGAAAATTAATATTTACAGGAGATATCGAAAACTCGTTTCTAAAAAAGAGTTTTTTTAAAGCATCAGTTGTATTAGCCCCTACTTTAACTAAAGTAAATTTATTATTCTAAGAATTAACTTCTACAAACATATCATCATCTAATAACGAAAAACTATGTAATTCGTAATTTTATTCGAACTTAATTAAAGGATTACAAACAATATAAACTCCTGCATTAGCACTTTGACTTAAAGACATATCTATACTTGTTAACTATTCATTTGGAATATCTAAACTAAAAATTAGAGCTTATTAAGCATTCGATTTTACAATACCTAATCTTCCGTTTTCCAAATAGGGCCTTTCAAATTGGGAAGAACTTTAACTATATGGATATGACGAAACTCCAGTTTAATAAAGGTTAACAAAGATCCAATTATCATTATTATATGTTCTTATTTCTATATCAGCTATTGTAGTGGGTACAAAAAGAGGGATGAGCTCTTATTATCCTCTACTGTTAATCGAAAATATTGTAATAGTGCTAAAATTTTAAGGTAAATTAGATTAATATTTATCATAAGAAATAAAAAATTTAAAACTAACAAAATAAACTTATTAATGTGATAATTTTCCAATATTTTAACATCTAATAACTCTATTTTTTGTTTATTTAAAATTGTTCAAAACACTACATTTTACTTACTTTTTATCAAATCCTTCTAAATTCTCACTTATAGAGCTTAATAAAACATATGAATCATAATCATTTCCTAAATTAGAAGGTACTTAGATTTCCAAAAGAAGTTCTTTATTTTCCGGTGTATCATAAACTGATTAGAATTCCAACTTTATATTATTGTAAACTGACATAGCTTCCTTTTCAGGAGAGGAACCTCTCATAATTCCTAAAGGAAAATTTGGTGAAAGAGAAGAATCAGAAGGAATTCCGAAAGATATTTAAATTGATTTATCACTAAAATATAACTAATCTAAAGAATAAAGACTTTATATTTTTACTTCATCAATAATATGCGATGCATGCGCTAACACACTTCTTGCTATAAAACCTATATCATTAACAACATTTTTAGCATTTTTAGCTATAGTTGATATTGAAAAAGCGAAATCTTTTTATATTTAATTGTCCAAATAAAGAAATGTTATTTTCTTATTTTAACTTTCACATGTATATGTTGATGGTTCTAACGCTTTTATTTCTCCTTTCTATACAGAATTGCAAGAATTTGCCTAAAACTCAAATCCATCATCTTGTATAAATTCAACTTCAAACTTTATTTATCCATAATAATTTTTCTTGATTATAAAATCGAAAAATATAGGGTATTAAGCGTCTGGTCGAAATGCATATTCTGATTTTGTAGCATCTACAAATAATAATAAATCACCTGTAGGAGATTCTGTATATCTGTATTATTATTTAATAATATATTTATTATATAAAATACATTAAAGTTGCAAAAGAGTTATTTTTGTCATATATTATAGAATTGTTTTAATTATAATCACTTATCGTTTCGATTTTTATAACAGAACTTTAAGTTAATAATTCTTATTGAAGGTCTTTGCCTAAAGGATGTGTTTTTATTATAAGGGTATATATATTTTTTTTATCTAATTCAAATTAATATTGAAACTATATATAATATTTTCCTATAGTTTAATATCTAAATTTTAAAGCTTTTTCCTTTTTATTAAAAAATAAAATGTTGTTGTGTTTTTTTTTTTTTTTTAAAAAAAAGATAAAAAAAAAAAATGAAAATAATTATTAAATAATTCTTAATTTTTTATATAAAATAATAATTACTGTTATCAATTAATTAGCCTAATCGATATATTGTATTTATATATATTATATTTAATTTTATAAATTTTCTATATTTGGATTATGAATTGGATGGGGGAAATTTATTCTAATTCCAAAATCCCCTTATAAACTTGTTTCTACTTAAAATTTAAATTGATACAATTATGTATAGCCAATATTAGAATAATCTAATGTCAAACCATAGTTTTTAATAAAACCTTATTAGGTTTAAAAAATTAAAAGATAAAAAAAATATAAATATTTCATAAATATAATTTAGTTATTTTTTTATTTATTATTAAAATTTAAATTTTTTTTTTTTAAAAAAAAAAATGTTTATATTTTTTATTTATTTGAAAAAAAAAACATATTTAATTATTTATTATAATTAAAAAAAATACATCATACATATTATTAGTTTAATAATAAACTTACTTTTATTATATAAATATTAATATTTAAAATTTACAAAAGACTAAAAAAATAAATAATATTTTCACTAAAAACTGGAACTTAATAAAAAATAATTAATTATAATCAAAAAAAATTCTATAAATATATTAGACTAAATAAAACAAACAATTTAATAATCAAATATTTACAATTAAAGATAATTGTAATTCATATTTTCATGAAATATTATTGAATTAAAAAAATGATTTTTAATAGAAAGTTGAGTAGAAATTTAAACGAAAAAGAAATTAAAGGAGATAATATTATTAAAATAAATATAATCATAATTTATTTAAATATAAATGAAGTAACAAAATAATAGAAAAAGAATATTACTAAAATTATATCATAATAATAAAAATTAAACTAATGTATATAAGAAGATTAAATTTTAATTAAGCAATAATTAGAAACTCACTATATACTTATAAACTACTAAAAACAAATTTAATATATATATATATTTATTTATTTTCAAAAAAAAATAAATAAAATACAATTATTAAATTGCATTTTTTTAAAATATTAATAGAATCTTAAATGAGTTTCTCAATAATTGCTTCAATATTAAAATTTTTAAATTTATTTATTTTGAGCATTTATGTTTTACAATTAATTCTTTTAGCAACACAAAATGTGTATGTAATTCAATTAAAATTTAATAAACTTATTAAATTATTTAGTTTTAAAAAATACATCAATCTTCATAAAACTAAGAAAACAATTTAGATTTATTAACAAATTAAATTCTTTTAAATTATTATTTGTTCATATTGTTATTTTTTTATTAATTTTTATTTAAAAGCACAATCACAAAAAAATAAAAAAAAATGGATAAAGGTTATTTTTATTTTTTTTGATAGAGTTTTTAAAAAAAAAATTATATTAAAAATAAAAAATAACATCATTAATAAATAATATATATTATAAAATTATTCTTATTCCCCCCATATAACATATATTTTTGGAAAGTTTTTTTTAATAAAAAAAGCATTTATTTAAAATATAATATAATCTAAATAATAATTTTTTTTACTAATTTAAAACAATAAATAATTCTAAAAAAAAATATAATAAAATCAATTTTTATTTTTATATCTTCTAAACTAATTAGGATTATTAGCATTTATTTTACCATAACCAAATTAAATATCACGAGTGCTTATTTTATTACTTCTGATTTCTCCAAATCCAAATCCATTCTCAAAATCGGCCATATTTTTCTTATATTCTTTATCTTATATTTTATTTGCTATTTTAACTTTAATAAGTTTGCTTCCTTATAAAAGTTCATCTTCTCTCAAAACTATATTATGAGCATTTCTTCCAGTTTTAGGGTTAGGTATAGAATACTATATATTTATTTATATAAAAAACTAACAAAAAAAATAAAAAAATACAATAAATCCTTTTTTGCATAATTAGAAATTCTTTTTTCTATATAGTTTTATAGTTCCATCTGCATTTATACTACAAGAAACTTTCAAAAGAGTATGATTTTAACATTTTGGACAGAATTATTTCTTTGTGTCTTTTATAATTTCATAACAAGCAAAACATTCAAGAACAAATTTTCTTGCTTTTCTAATTAACATTCCATCTATAGAGATTAAAGGTATACCCATTTATAATGCTACATTCTATTTTATTTATTTTAAAAATACTTAAAAAAAAAAAACAATAAAATTACTTGCATAGAATAATCAACAGTCATTAAAGAAAAACCAAATTAATTTTCTTCACTACTGGCTTTTTCATGCCCTTATTCTTTATATAAATGTAAATTTTCATTATTAATCCAACCTTCACAATCATCTTCAGATGAATCGCTTTCAATTTCATCTTAATTTTAAATGTTTTCTTTTAAATTCATTTAATTTTGGTTTTTTTCATTTTAATTATTTAAATTAATATCATTGTTATTTATATTGTTTTAATTATTTTAATCATTTTCTTTTATATTATTTTAATTTGATTATTTTTGAATATTTTCAACTTATTTTATCTCATTTTTTTTATTTGTTTTAATAACATAATTCCATCCTATACCAAATTCACTTCTATTATTTTGTATTTTTTTATCTTTTACTTATTTTTATTTTACTGTTGTCCATTCATCATCTTCATCTTAGTTCTATTTTTCTTCTTTTTCTTTTTCTTCTTCTTCTTTTTCTTCTTCTTCTTCTTCTTCTTCTTCTTCTGGCTTTTATGCATCTCCTTCTTTTTATTTTGGGTAAGCTTCTTATGCTTCAAGAGGTTATTTTCTAAGTAGATTAGAAGTATTATTTTCCTCTGAAAAAGTATAACATAAAGCTAATAAATCAATATCAGCATTACTTAAAGAAGCATTATCTCCTGTCAAAACGGAGAACTTTTATATTTGAGCTTTTGCAGTGTTTGAAGGTTCTTTTATTTATATATTTAAACATAAAGCTTAATATTTTTCTCTTGCTTTTTTATCTTTTATTTCAAATATTACTTCAGAAGTTGTATATAAATCATATGTTAAACTCATTTTTTATAAATCTAAACATTTTATAAACGCATTTGTATCAATTACTATTTTTTTCTTTTAGAACCTAATTTCCTTTTATTTTATTTTTATTAATTTTATTTAATTATGCTTTTTTCTTACATTTAGATTCCCTTCGTTTTAATTGTCTTAAAATTATGCTAAATCTTAGTCCCACATTTAATTTTATTTTTATGTTTTTATTTTATAATTATTATTTAAATTTGATTTATTTTAATTTAACTTTCTATATATATTTTTTTTAGGAAATAATTTTATATAATATTTTTTTAAAGATATATTAAAAAAAAAATTATTAAATGTAAAAAAAATATTTAATATAAAAGTCAAAATTAAAATTGGCTATTTTTTTATTTTTTTTGTTAAAAAAAAAAATAATAAATAAATTAAAAAATAAGAAAAAATAAAATAAGGAGTAAATATATAAAAATGAAAACTCACGTCGGTAAATACACAATAAAAAAAACCAAAATTTATTTATTAACAAATATAATAAATAGAAGTTACATCATCAAGAAGAAAATAAAGAAAAGCACATTTTGCTTCTCCTTCTCATTTAAGATAACAATTAATGTCTGCACATTTATCTGGAGATTTAAGAAAAAAATACAATGTAAGATCACTTCCTATCAGAAAAGATGACGAAGTTATCATTGTTAGAGGTAATAAATATATATAACAAAAAAAAATAGAAAATTATGAACTCAAAAATTAATAAATATAAAAAAATAAAATTAATAGGAAAATTTAAAGGAAACAAAGGTAAAGTAACTTAAGTATACAGAAAAAAATGGGCAGTTCATGTTGAAAAAGTATCAAAAAATAAATTAAATGGTAATATATAAAAGAAAATAAAGAAAAATATAATTTATTTTAAATTTAAAAAGGTGCTCCTTATTAAATTCCATTATCTGCATCATAATTAATCATAACAAAATTAAAATTAGATAAATGCAGAGAAGATTTATTAAAAAGAAAAGCTGCTGGTATTGCAAAATAAAAAGGATAAAAATATACAGTAGCTTGAGGGGAAAAATAAATATTTTTATTATAAATATTTTATTAACAAATCAAAATTATATTAACTAAAAAAGTAATATATATTTTTAAATATTTTTACTTTGTATTTTATTATTATTTAAATTCATATCTAAAAAAAATTACTTTTTTTATAAATATGTATGCTTTTTTAAAATACTTAATAGATTAAATACATTTATTTACTTAAAAATTATTATTATTGATAATTTTAAGTTATAAATTAAATAAAAAGTTAACATTTTAAGTAACAATATTATTGAATAAAATTAAATTATATAAAAGTATATAATTTAAAAAAATATATTAAAAAATAAAAATAATAATAATTAAAAAATCAAAAATAATAAATAAAATAATGAATAAAAAATTGTAATTTTCATGATTTTTAGTTTAAAAATATAAAATTTATATATTTATAATTAATGAATTAATTTTTATTTTTTTTAATTAATAAAAGATTTATATAAAAAAAATAAAAATATAAACTTATTTAAAGTTAAAAAAAATATTATAATAATTAAAAGGCAAAATAAAAAAATAAATAAGGTAAAAAAAAATTAAAATAAGAAAAAAAAAAAATAGTAACTTAATAT